TTAATCGCCACACTCTTTCTCAGTTTCTCCAGCCCATAAACAACTTTTTTTCAAGATCACCAACACAACACTTCATCCCCTCAATTTTACCTCTCTTTTTATCAACTTCTTCCACCATTCCAACGAATTCCACATTACTTTTTTCCACAAACTCCATTCCATCATACTTTTGGGTCTCAAACGGTTCCTCCATCCTCACTTGTCTATCATGAACCTAAAAAACACTTTGTTTAATTTGAAGCAACTCAAACATAACTAAATCAAGTTTCTCTAGCATAATTTCATTCGTACAACCCCCTTATAAGAATATTTATCTTCAGTATTTTCTTCCTCCATGGGAGGAACCTTCAAAATTAAATTACAATATTAACCGAACTTTTCAAATTTGTTATAAACGAAGTTTTAAAAGCATAATAACCAAACCCAACTTTTCTTACCTTTTTTTCCTCTTCAGTCACATCGATTTCAACTTTTCCATAATTCGCACCATATCTTCCTTACACCATGCAAGAATGCATGACATCCCAGGTTTTTTTACAGTGGCCACCCTTGCTGAATTCGACCAGAAATCAAACAACACAACCTGAATTCAATATGAACTAAATCATTTTATCCTCACATTCAGATTATTTAAATAAGTATTATAACAAAAGACATATTTACTACTTATTTACCTCTAATACAACAATGCAACCATTAAGGTATCTGTATTTTTTGAGCTTCTGAAAGCTAACTATTGCTTCAATTATTTTGTCAACAACAAATTTCTCCCAATTTAGTTCACCCTTCATCCCTTCCTCAACAACAGCTTCAAATTTTCCTTGCTCGGGGTTGTATCACTCGTTAGAAAAAAGAAATATCCCAACCATGTACAACAACCCTCTCGCCTTTAGTTGATCACCATCATATTTATCGGTTTTTATCTGTCTTAATATTATACGTCACACTCAGTTTTATTTCGAATCCCCCTCTGAAATACTTCTTCAACACAAACCTTTTATTTTTCAACCCCAAAATAGCTACAACCTTCTAAACCCCAACGGTAATGAATATCCACTGAACTTGATTCTACGGTTTTCTACATCAAAATTCTCTATCAAGTCCTGACACAACTCCCTACGAATTGGTCGTGCCTTTATTTCAATCGAAGACTCAAATCATAATTCTTTAACAACATCCAATTTTTCATTTCCTTTCAACACTTCCATCAATTCATTCATTCTTATCAATCTACATCTTGTCGACACTTCCTACATTTATTTAAAAACAAACAAATTGTTATGTTATGTTCTACACAACTTTTATAAAGCAAGTTACAACTTTATATAATCATGAAAGTATGACAAATACCTTCTTTTCATGTGCACTCCTACATGCATTATATACTTTTTTTTTTGTTTCTCCAATAATTTTACATAAAGATCATTCTCCTCTTCAGTCATCAACTTCCATTTTGCCGCTGCTTCTTTCCTCGCCTGCAATCAACTTTTGTTTATCAACAATGTCTATAATACTCTATCTCTATACCTTCTCAATTGATTCTAGATATATACATAAACAACTTTTTATTATCAAAAACTCCCTTCAACCGTCGACATTCACTCACACTGTAAACATTTCAAATTTCTCATCAATGTAAACATCTAAAATACTTTTAGATTATAAACCACCATTCAAACAAGTATTAAATAAATACATGGTTACTTACTAGGGGGCATTGTTTGCTTCAGCCTTTCTTCTGTCTCATTGGTCTCTCGATCCTCCAAGTCATTTTCTTCTCAAAGAACAAGCGACATGTCGTAACCTCCCATGTCTTTCATATTTTCCTCTCATAATTTTTCTGTCGTTTATGTCATCTTCTTCTTCTCCTTCTTTCTCATTCTTTACAATATGTTTTTCAGCTAAACAGTTATGTAAAATGTATATGCATTTCATTTCATAATTGATTAAATCCATAATTGATCATTATATTAACCGGTCATCTACAACTATATTTTCTTCCATTCAACCTATAATGTTACATTCTACTTATTTTACTAACCACACTACTTTTCCATTTATTCAACCTATACCATGAATTGATCGATTATATTACATCTTTCCCCTATAAAGTATGCCCTAATCCTTAAATCATAATTGAATAATTTAAAATTTTTCAAGCTAGGATTTCACGTTCAAATTGGGATTTCAGTTGGGTTCTTCACTATTAATATCTATTGCTTAGATGGATAACATATTCTCAACACTAATATCCCTCTTTTTCTTCTCTGTTTCTAGATTATACCTTCCTAGAACCGGATATGTTTTCTATAAATATTTGATACTTTTCCCTTTGTATCGAAATATGTAAAAGTTTGATACTTTTCAAGCCTTCTCGATTTCCTTCCTCTTTGTACATTCGAAAATATCGATACAGAGGGTAAAAGTTTTGATATAATCAGCTTTTAACACAAACTGTCCTACCTAGAAATAAAAAATGTTATCATCTAATATAATGATGTTGGTTGACATTTAAAATGTTACCCTTCTATCGGTCACACAATAAGTTAAAAGCATCTTTGTTATTAATATAATTAACATTTACAGTTGCACCGAAAAATGTTATCAGATTTTAAGTTGGTGTGGCCTTATTCATTCACAGGACAACATAATAAGTTCGTTGCTATCTCAAGAGTAGGTTACGATCTGAAATGTTATAAATTTAAAAAATATTCTCGAAAATTAGTATCGATACTTACCGGCAAAATAAGTTACGTGGTTAAGCCATTTTAAATTATTTTAACTTCCTTGCAACCGAATATATTATACTTAATTCAACATTTTTGATAGTGTTGAACCTATTTTCTTAAGTTTCTTTTAAACTTTCCGATTGCACCATTTTTTAGCCGTATATTACTGTCTTTCCTTAGAATTCCCCAATATCATTGAGTGTTTGAAGAGTAAGACTAATTCTATTATTATATTTATAGTAAGTGGAGAAATTTTAGAAAAAGTATTTCATAAAAAATGAAATTAAAAAGAATAATAAAATATCAAGCACTAATATTATTTTTTATTAAGCTAATATAATTACAAAGTAGTATATTTCGAAATACACTCAACCATTTAATTGTGAACGCTTAATCATCCTACTACAGTCGCTGCTACTCAAGCCTTTTAAGAACAACAAAGAGTACCTCTATATGAAATGTAACTATAAATTTATTATTAATCGAAAATATCACATCAAATTTTGTCATTGAAATAAATAAATTCATTAATATCAATAAAATTCATATATAAAATTTTTAATAGTCTAAGATGATATAAGATATTTATTCATAATTTTTTTATTAGTTATTAAAAACTTACATATACCTAGTAAATACGGTTGCTTGAACTCAATATTTTAAAAGAGAATAGCACTACTTTGATGTCACTTAATAGGTTTAGAATCTATAAATAAATCAATAACAAAGGACTATTTTTTATGAAATTAAAATTTGAGTATATTTCGTATAAAAAATGTATTTAACTATTACTATTTTAATTAAAATAAAAAATAAATTAGTTTGTTGGTTGGTCGATTTCTCATATGCCGGCCGCTTTCAAAATTGTACGCTTTGAGTAAAAAAAAGTAGAGGCTGAATAGCGTAATTCAAGCTTTTAAATTCATCTCCCAATCCCATTCCCATGACCGTGAACTGTATTCAGTAGCACCGGTTCTCAAAAATGCATTCGAGTAAAAATTAGATTTTATTTAACTACTTTGATTTTTTAAAAGAAAATATTTTTTTAAAATAAGGTCTAAATATAATATTTATGATATTTTTTCTTGAATTAAAAAAATATTTTTAGACGATGGATTTAAATTATCGTAGATATTTGTGAATTTAAAATTTATGTTGTACAAGATAGAGAGACATAAAAGGCATAATCTATAAAAGTCGTCTTCCAAAGCACACAGTTCACCACTGCATAGGCAGCTAAGAGGGGATGTAGACGAGGTTACTGCTGCCTTGTAATTGTCTAATTAACTTCATTGACCAAGTTATATATTGTTGTTTTTAAGGATGAATATAAAATTTTATATTAGTAGTGAATTTATAAAATTTTAAGAAATAAATAAATAATTTATCTTTTATTTTTTATTTTTTATTTGACAAACGGTGACATTAGTCTTGATGTAGGTCGTTGATAGTCTGTATTTTCTATTTTTTTTATTTTCTTATATTGTTTCTTATTTTTCTTCTGTTTTATTTTTTTAAATTTGTAATAACTTTGTCTTTATTATACATTTTCGCCTTTATGACATATTTTTCTGTCTTAGTACTTTTTTTTATCGTTTGATTGTTTTTTGTTAAAATTTTTCAAGATTAGATTTAACGACGCTTCGACTGATTGAAATAATACTTATTTGATATCATGTTGATCTTTATTTTTTGACACTCGGATTTGATTTAGATACACATTTTGTGTTTGGAGATAGGTTTTTCACAATGCTCGACTTTTATTTGAGATTGTGACAATTTTCAATACTTTAATCTCTCGTTATGGTTTGTTTACTAATAGATTCAGATATGTTAATATATATCTTTTATTCGATTTTTTAAAATAGATTTTTAACATTTTCTTTGTAAGCTTCTTATATGATCTTAAATGATTAGATTTTTTATATTAATGATTACAGATATATGTGTTGCTTATATGTTCATTGTAATATTGGATTTTATTTTTTTAATAGAACTAGTAATTTTATATGCATTAAAAAAGATAAAAATATATTCTTAATAAAAGATATAAAATATTTATATTATATAAAAATTTAAATTTTTTCATGTGGGGATCTTAAATTCTTAAGCTGCAAACTAAAAGTACATCAGCATCCAAAACATATCCGCGACTAGTATTAATCCCAACTCTGAGTACCATGAGACGACCTATTCATGTCTCTACTTTTGACTATTATACCGAATCCATGGCATGACCGGAGATGTTGTCATCTCCCACTACCTCTTCAATTACAACAGTAAACTACCAGCAGCAATGGTTCTCTTACCATCTTTTCAATACATTAAATCTCAATACGTATATATAATTGCCTTACTTGAATTGTTTCCCTTCATACGTTCCACCGAACCGCCAATTCAACGGTGCAACACCGTAAGACGCAACCGTCCGGCCGGTACTGGCGGTCACCTCAAAAGAGAGTGGCTGTCCGATAAGATTAATGTTGCAGTGCCAGTTCTGTCCCCAGTTCCTGGCCATTGGTATCCACCCTGTTTTGGAGCCCTTCACTTTGACTGCCACCACTTCCCCATCCAATCCCACATTGGTAATCAGCACCTGAAAGAAGTGAGCACTCCCACTCATGCTGAATCTAATCCCGCCCCTCCTTTCACACTTCACCCTACATATCAAACACTCATTTCATTCATGCGGAAAAAAAGTGTTGTTTAGTTTGAACATGTTTTTTTACCTCTTATACTGAACAGGCACATTATCAGCTCTTTTCTCTGCAATTTCGGCAAATGCAGCCTCAGACATCTCAAAGTGTTCCTTGGGGAAATTACACCAACCACCGTAATCGGAAGAAAGGCCATAATTCGGTGGACAAAAGTCAGTAGCCGTGAGGATGACGGAGGGGCTGCCTTGGAGACACCATAAGATGTGGTCAACACATCTGACCTCAAAGCAAGCTCCACATGTGCTGCCTTTGTTGAACAACATTGTACTAAGTCCAGCACTGTACTTCCCATAGCTGGCCTTATGAAGGTCCCCGTAACCACAAGCTCCTTCTGCAAGACCAGACCACTGAATGATATGAAGGGCCAATATGAAAGAGAATTATTGGAAAATTTTAAAAAAAAAGTACCAGTGATGATGGATCCATCTGTTTCTTTGGTATATGTTGCAGATGCTGACTTCCATTGTTCATCCTTGAGAATGGCCTGGGATTTTGTTAGCAGTAGAATCAAATGGATTACATGAAGTAGAAGGGCAGCCATTTGAAATAAATGAGGCCTCTCTCTTTTTCTCTCAGAAGTGAACTTTTGAGTTTTTCCTTTATTGGGATTGTTGTGAGGACAAGGGTAAAGAAAGCCTTCTACCCTTCAAGGGTAAAGGACCTCAGAATTGGTAATATAGGTGGAAACCGCATTCCAAGTGCATAATTTTGAAGTTAAGAAAAAGGACAAGCAGGATTTGGAAGTCCTTTGTTCACATCGTGGGGTTGCATTGCACCCAAAATCAGATTAAACATGGTATGTTTCTTTTTAGTTCCCATTTCATTTATTGTTTTGTTTCTAGTGGGAAATTTGGTGCAGAGGAAAGAGGGAGAAGGGTTTAAGGCTTTGATGTGGTGGCAGACAGACAGGAAAGGCGGAAAGTCTTGAGAGAATAAGAAAAATAAAAGAGTAATAATTTAAATTAAGAATCCTAATAACATAATTAGATTTGTTTGTGCAAATAAAGTCAAGATACATCCATTTCTCGTCTTTTTATGCAACCAAAAGAAATAGGTGAAAAATAGGGTCCCTTTGACTGTTTGGACATACATTCATTTTCCTTTCTTTTTTTTATGCTTTTGAATAACATCTATAAATACGCGGTTAGTGATGGGTTTTTTTTTGCTAGCTATCCCTGCCTGGATAATTTGATCATTATACAAATCTGAGTTGTGCTTATAGTTAACCTGAAACAGGGTTTTTATACTCTTGAAAATAGGGATTTTTATGGTAGTCGATGTTGAATCTTGCTTAGTATTAGTAGGGAGAAATTATAATAGAGGCTTTTTGCTTGCTCATCATTTCACCATGATTTTATTAAATCAAATTATTAAGTGAAGATAAAATAAAAACAAGTTTGTTATTGTTGAAAGAATAATAAATAATTGAATAAATTGATGTCATTTATATAAATCATGTCACTTAGTAAATAAACTTATTATAATAAGTCATATCATTTGATGAATTGACTTATTTTTTAATTTAAAGTCGCATCTATTTAATTATATTTATTCAACAAATCTCTCCACTAAAAGGTCTTAACTATTTGTCGAAAGGTCTTAACCTTTCAATCATTTCTCTCCTCTATATATAGGATAGTTAAGACACAAATCTTAGACACAAGTTACAACATGCAAGTTTAAAACTTTAAAATAGGAAAGTACTTAGAAAATTCCTTCGAAATTCGTTTTTTTCAGTGAAAGAGAAAGGTAAGATTGTGTTCGACTGATTACTATGGTTGTGCTTATTGGTGTGATCGTTTATTTTTTTTCCTAGGAGACTGTCGTAACCGATTTCTGACGATACGACGAGTCTCGACTCATTTTGTGAAAACTCGATTTTGTAAAAGAAATGTTTCGAAGTGACCATCGACCTTTTGGGTTAGGTAGGTCGAATACCCAAAAATATTCTTTTAAAAGAGTTTTTTTTTTAAGAAAAACGTCATTTTAAAAGATGCACTGATCCACTTGTAACCAGAAAATCAATTTTTTAGTAAGAAAAAAAGGTTCGGGGGTTGATTACGTGTGGGGAAGGATAAGCACCCCACAACGCCCAAAATTGGTACCCATTGATTATATATTGTCTCTAAATAGTAAAAATCTAAGAGTTCGAATATATATTTAAATTATGATTTCATTATTCTGAATTCAATCATACAAAAATTTTAAGGACAAAAAATTCTAAAGAAAAATATAAAATATTCTCTTATTTCCAATTGAAGAGAAAATACTCCCTAAAATACTTTAGGACGAATATTTCTATTTCCAACTAAAATAAAAAGAATATAATAATTTTTCTTAAGAATTCAATATTAAAATAATTTTTATTCAACCCAAAGAAAGAATTAAATTCATTAATCTTTTATTATATTATTAGAAAAGATAAGGGATATTCAATAATTTAAAAATACCCAGACATAATCCCTAATAAAATTAGCAAATTGTCTCGATAAGTTTAAAATAATGAATATTTCCTTTTCCCTTCAAAATTAATCAATTTTCAATGCAATCAATTTTTTAGGTTTTTCTAGTGGGAATATTTATTTATTTTAAAATATCGAAAAAGGACATCTAGTTATCTTAAGGCTATCCCTTCTTAATATTTTAAAATACATAAATACTACCCTTAATCCAATTATGTAATCGGTTAAGTTATTCTAATGAGGCTTTTAAACAAAATAAAATATGATACATTGAAGCACTTAGAGAAAAAATATAAATACACATGGATTAAAAGATCAATTCTAAATTTATTTTTAACTTTATATTACTTTATAAATATATACATATTTTCTAAATATTATATTAAACATAGAACATAATATTTATTCTAAAATATAATAAAAAAATATTTATATCATTCTATAATATTATGTACAAAGTAATATATAATAATAATAATAATACAAACAAAATAACTATATAAAACATAAAACATACTTTAATGGTAAAATAAATAATATACGTATGAATCTACTCACTATATGGTGACAAAAATAAATATATAATAACCTTAGGATCTTAAACATTAAATAAGTAAATATTCTTAGCATTAAACAAGAAAATAACAAATAGAAACACTAGAATCATGATAAAACCATAAACATAGGACTAAAATAGAAAAACATCAACATCAGTAGCCAATCTCGAACAAAAAAAATAATACAACCAATAGAGGACTAAATTACAATAATATAAAATCATGCATCTAATTCGTAAATCTTGTAAAATAAAAGAAACTAGGGACCAAATCACAAAACATGATGAACTAATAGGGACCTAAGGATAGATTAACCCTAAAAATTACTAAAACGTGAATCACCTTAAACATAAAGGACCAGAAGGGTGATTTAACCTAAAACTAGTGACCATAGTGTATGACAAGCTAAAGGTCCAGGGACCTTATCGTGGTTTACCCAAAAAAATTTAAATATCAATGCCCCATCCCTTTCCAAAATTCATTTCTGCCCGTGAATTTCTAAAATTCCCTTACTCTTTCTCTCCCTTTTCTCTTTCCTTCAACCCACAGTGGCTGCTCCCCCACAAGCCAAAACCAAAACCTAGACGACCGCCACTTGCGGTGGTCCAGCAACCCTAACTCAAACATGACCACCCTCTCATTGTTTCGACGACGGCACTACCCCGACTAAACCTCAGTAGCAGCAAGGTAAAACTACTCCCCTAAATCACTATTTTTTTTTATTTTTCGAAATAGAATAGAACCAAAAGTAAAAACAAAGATTTGAATACCTTCAAGAATAAATGCTGAAAAAAATGGTTGTATTGCTTTGATATTTTTTTTTTCTATTTTTCGGTCTGAATAACCGAGCCAGCCCTTGCTCTTGTTACATGGTTTGGTTCTTATAACCAATTTACATAGGTTTATAAAAAAAAATAAAACAATCCTAGGTCTACAATAGTGTTACTGTGTTGATGATGGTGTGCTTTTAATGCCCCGGATTTTATGGGGTTTTGTTGAGCAGGCTTGGGAAAAAATGGCAGTGGAGGCTGAAGGCATGATATCCCTAGGTATAGTTAGGTTAGGGTTCTGTTGGGTTTGAATGGGGGTTATGGGATTTAGGGGTTATGAAAAATAGTGGTTACAGTTGCCCCTCTTTGCTCATTGTTGTGAAACAAGAATGAAGCAAAGATAAAAACACCATTTTTCATATTGGTCTCTTCTTATCACATTGCAACATCTTCACTGCAAATGTCAATTATTCTCTTTTCATGATAGTTGACCCAATTGTGATGCCGATCCAGCTCCTTATGTGATGGATTTAGATGACAATGTTTGATCCATCTCATTCTGTGATGAACGAAATGTTGGTAATGTTCCAACTCCGTATGCAATGGAAACAAGTTAAGGTTCAACAAGTTCTTCTCATTATGAACTTCTTCTCCCTCATCGGATGAGTTCTTCTCATTATGAACTCTTCACTGAAAATGTTGATCCCTCGAGTGAGGTGTTGCTGATTCAACTCCATATGCAATGAATCGAACTAAGGTTGAACAAGTTCTTCTCATTATGACATTCTTCTCCTTTTTTCGGATGAGTTCTTCTCATTATGAACTCTTTTGGAAATGTTGATTCACCTCCTTCTGGGGTGAATTTGAAAGGAACAGGCTTTTTTCATCACAAACCTTCTCCTTTAAGACGGGTTCTTCTCATTATGAATTCTTCTGGAAATGTTGATCGGTTTATCCTCTCTTTGAAGAGTTTTAATCCTGCAAAAAAAATCTTATGTCGGTGATTTGTATTTAAAGTACCCGAAGGTAATTACCCGATGGTCCTTAATTCTGCTGAGATCCATTTCTTTCAATGGTGAAAAATATAGAATGATTCTCTGCTGAAGTCGAGAAATGAAATCTTTGTTGACTCTTTGAATTCCTTAATACTGCAAATTGCTGAGTTTTTGTCTTTGTTGGGTCCATCTTGGAAACGAGAATGCTCATTCTCATTGAAGTGGCCTAGAAAAGTCAAGTTGGAAGAAAGGCATTATTGAAAATGCTTCTAGGGAAAAATCTTAAGAATGACTCATGCGACATCCCATAAAAACGGTCCTAAGAAAGACTCAAACAATTCTCTAGAAAAATATCCTAAGAATGATGAAATAATTTTTCAAAATAGACTTTACAGATATCCTCATGAGAGGAAAATCAAAATTTGTCTTGTGTATGAAATGTATGATGCGAAGATGCAAATTCAGGTATGAATGCAGGTTTTCTTAATCTATTGGAAATGGTTGCAAGAGCAGTCTTCATTGCTAGATCAGTCTTCATTCTTTTCCTGGTTTGATTTTCTTCTTTATCTGTCGCGCCTGAGTTTATTCTTTTGAATCTTGACTTGTGCATCTTGCCCCAGTAAAAAAAAATTCTTTTGATAAATTTAGCTTCTTCAAAAAGATTCTTTTACAGTTATCAAGAAACCCCTAAAATTAGGCTTAGCTTCCTTTAACAACTCTTTGGAGATAATCATAAATAAACCCCTAAAAATCAGGCTTAGTTTCTAAAAATTCATTTGAAAACATCCTGCCCGAAGGTCTTATGGATAGCCCGAAGGACTTATGGATAGCCCGAAGGACTTATCAT